ATGGGAAGCGCCGCGTCAACCCGCAATCGCCAGCGCAAGCAGGGTTGCGAACGGCTGGGCATCACAATTCTGCAGCTTGAAGAGGTGCTTCAACCATTTTCAACCCCCCAAAACCTTAGAGCCCAACCATGAAGTCCTTGTCAAAATCTGGGGCTCGAAACAGGTGGATGCTGTTGTGCAAGACCGCTGTCAGAAGGAATGCTGGCCACAGGCCTGGTTGCATGACACGCAACTGTTGTTTCCGGCCTTTGGGAATAGAGTCGGTAAGTTTGCGCATGACAGGTGACCAAGTCCAAGCCCTCCGTGCAGCAGGTCGTGAGAAACTTTGTAAAACCAGAGATCAAAGGCAAGAAGCGCAGCTATGTCGAAATCAAATTCGAGGACAGGGTGAGCCCTCCTAGCTGGTTTTCGTGTCATCCTTGGTCCATCAGCCACGCTTCTTTGGTGTTGGGTCTGCGGCACTTGCTTGACAGACATGGTGAGACCGATGCGACTTCTGTTTGGGTCGCAGCTTACTGCTTGTATCAGCATGATGAAGTATCTCATGCCCCTGACGTGGTTCTCCCGGCCGTTTTTGGGTCGAGGCACCTATGCGACATTGCAGTGCACATCGATTCACAGCGTGAAATCTGGAGACGGATGTGGTGCCTTTCCGAGATCCTCGCCTCCGCAACTCACGGGGGTGAAGCGATGCATGTGAGCTTCGTTGCAGTGGAGGAGTCCAAGAGCGGCGAGACGACCGCGTGCTCTTTGTCTGACCATCCCGTGGCGGTCACTGAGTCGGAGAGCGAGCGAAGATCACGTGATGCCAGGTTTCCACTGAGCGCCTTTGCGCTGAACCGGCCGATTGCCATCGACACAAGTTGCGCGACCCTCCAAGAGGACGAAGAGGCGATCTTGCGCCAGATCATCAAGGAGAGCGGAGAAGGCAACAGTGGCTCGCACGCCTCTCGAAGCCCAAGCTCTCCAAAGCAACACCCGGCCTACCTCAAGGCGAATACACTGCTGCGGGTCAAGATCGAAGCCGCAGCCATGCGAGTCGCTGTACTCGCCCAGGACGAGAAGATGCAGGGCGCCCTCTTGCGAGGCGCCCAAAACAACGAGACACTTCGGGGCGAGCTGAAGCAAGCCATTGAGCTACTCGACGTCACGATTGTTGGGAAGGCCTTATACTAACAGTCCTTAAAAGGATTTATGTACCCTCCAGGGGAAAATCCCAAGATGTCGTGGACACCCCCACCCCCCCTCCCTCTCCCTCTCCCCCTGCCATCACAACGAAGCCCAACATCCTGGAGCCAAGTGAATTTGATAGGAGGATGTGGGGCCCCTACTCCAATCCCTAAGCCCCCCCCAATCCCCAAAGGCAAATAAAGCCCAAAATCCCCCAAACCGTCCGCAAGCAGATCTAGACGCCCCATACTTGAACCCGAAACCCACAAACTGCCCTGAACCCCTCGAACCCTCCAATCCCCTAAGCCCCAAACCCTTTACCCTGAACCCCATATCCTAAACACCAAACCCTGAACCCCAAACCCTCCAAAACGAAATGCACACTAGACCACAAACCTAAACCGCCGCCACCCCCCAAACGGCCTGAACCTAAGAAAACCCAAACCCTCCTAAACAAAAGGCACTCCCACAACCCAAACCCCAAACCCCCAAACACGAACACCTCCAAGAAACGAAAGGCAAGCCCAGAGCCTCCTCGCTGACCCCTCGCCGCCCAAACGCGCGCCGGCGCCAGCGCCGACGGTGGAGGAGCTGCAGATCTTGGGGCAAGGCTGGGGTTTAGGGTTTAGGGTTTAAGGTTTAGGGCTTAGGGTTTAGGGCTTCTTGTGGAGTTGGCGGGTTTAGGGGTTTAGGGTTTAGGGGGTATTACTTGACTTGACTTGTCTCGTATTATTTGCTATGCCCTCTTATGGTGAAAACTTAATTCAAGCTCCTCAACCAGAGCCCAGAAATTGGTTGAGGGCGAGGATTTGGGATTCCAGCTTTAACGTCTAGGGTTTGGCTTTTCTGGCTTAGGGTTTTAAAGGTGTGTAGGGGTTACAAGCATTTTAAGTTTGCAGTTCCTGGTTTAGGCTATTAAGTGGGGTTTCACGTGCAGGTCCGGCGGCGGAGGACCTTGAGCGCTCAACGAGTTCCAAGCTCCTGGGGGCACGCCTGGGATACTTGTTGGAAGGCTTTCCTCTGCAAGCTCAGCGAAGCACAGGTCAAGAAGATCCGACGTTTCATGAGATGAGCAAGACGCTAGCCTTGAACAAAACTGGCCTGGGGTATAACAAGCTGTGCCCTCGTGATGGGAGACTTCATTGCAGCGTTGTAGATGCACTGGCCGCCGGTGACGCGCGGAGAGCTTCACACTTCTTATCCTGGTGCTGGGATTATCGCTTGCAGATGTACCTTGGGGACGAAATGGTTTATGGTTCATTATGGTTCATATTCCTCAATAGGAATTATTGTAGTACAGGGTATATGACCCCTCAGTTTTGAGGTTCATTTGGTCCCCAAGGTATCTACAAACCTGGACGCAGTGGCGTTCACAGCATCATGCGGAGGCCTTCATTTGGCAGTGCTTCTTCTGCAACAACCAGTACCTTGGGGACCAAAGGAACCCCAAGATTGGGGGTCATATTCCCTATACTACCATAATTCCTATTACAAGGTATGTAACCATAAGCCCTTTTAGGGCCTATGGTTCCTAGTAAAGAAGCATAAACCCTTTCAGGGTTCCTGTCGTCCCCAAGGTATCGCCTCCAAGAAGGCCAGCAAGTGACGGATGAAAGCCTCGGCGACATCTTTCAAACCCGCCTGCTTGACATCCAGCAGATGCTTGGTAGCCCCGTAGTACCCTTTACCCTTTTTTTGGCTTCTGTGTGCCCTTCTAAATGAACCAACCAAAAAAGGGTTCCCTTTTGTTATAAGATGGTTACTGGGCTACCAAGGATGGTGGTGATGCTTGATAAGTTCATGCAGCCCAAGTACCTCGAACGTGTGTGGTGTGTCTACGCCACTCAGCAGTCCTTGGCAGGGCTTTTTTTGGCTGTCATAGGACACCGGGAGCTGTTCCTTGAGGACCAAATGAACCCCAAAATTGGGGTCATACACCCTACCTATACTACTATATTTCCTACTCAGGTATATGACCATAAACGCTTTAAGACTGCATTTGGTCCCCAAGGTTGAGAAAGGGTTTGATTTTTTGCCCCCCGGAGTTGGCATGTGGGGCCTAAGGAGATGTACACGGCAGCCGCGAATTCCGACAGAGTTACCGTGGACATCATGTTGCCGCCCGACCAGGCTGCGGACATCCGGACGAAGATCGCCTCTGGTGTCTGGGATGACATTCGCAAGAAGTTCCAGGAAGTCAATGTGGAGCATGCCAAGGCCCGGGTGCAGCGGGACGAAGACATGGTCAAAGAGCACATCAAGAAAGGTGCCGGGTTCGATGCGGTGAATGCGAAAGTGCGCGAGAAGATGATGGCATGGGTTCTCAAGCAAGTGGAGATGTTCTTGCTGGAGGATGGCAAAGTCCGAAGTGGGGCAGACTTTTTGCGCACTGCTGGGCTTGCTGACTACATCGACAAGCTGGAGGAGCAGGGAATCTGCACTTTTGAAGATCTTGAGGACCCAGATGCTCCACTATCGCTCGATTTTTAGCGTTGCTTTTCCTAGGGGGGTTCCTTACATGTCCCAACTATAATAACTATAAGTGCAAGAATATGCTGGTTCTGGGCCTTACTTGACACCAAACCCGAAGCCCCTAAACCCGAAAAGCCCAATACCCTGTACCTCGAAGACCCCACCCTTCTTGAGTCAACTTCGGAGTCACCCTAAACCCTACACCCTAAACCCTAAACCCTAAACCCTACGAGGACTTAGAGGATGCAGACTTGGCCGCCATCGGCTTCGATCCGGCCGCGCGCGAGCGTCTCCTGCAAGTGGTGAAGATGGGGCCGTCTGCGAGGGAGGAGACCGACTTCAAGGACACTGGGTTTAGGGTTTAGGTTTTACGGGTTAGGGTTTAGGTTGAATTTTCCAATACCTTACAACCTTTAGAGACGTCAGTTCGTTTAACTGATAGCTTAACAGGCTCCTCGGTCGATTTCTTCGAGCTGGTGACCAAGTAAGGACAAGCTGCGGATGTTGGGCTTAACAGCAGATGTCTTCGAGGGTCTTTCTGAGGACGAGGCCCTCAAGAGCATGAGAGCATGAACTGAAAGCAGGGCGTTGGTACCCTAGCGCTCTTGCGTTGTTCATTCATGCGAGCCTTCGAACACTGAAGATTGTTGAGGCCGTGAAAGGATTGTTCTAACCCATGTTATTCTCTGTCAGCGCATGTCACCTGAACCCCACGCTTAGTAACCTGAACTGGTGTCTTTCCGTCCTGTGCAATCGCCCCACACTGCCACAAAGAGCATCAGGAACCGCACCGAAGCACCGATCAGACAAGCAGAAATCAATTCACGCAGACCACCTATTGAAGTGCATTCCGATGCGCAATGTCTGCATGACGGTGCGCAAGGTTGGGTCGTGAATCGTCAAGTTGGCCAGTCAGATTGGTGCACCTCATGCTTTTTGTTGCATGCCGAAACGAGACGGGATGTCACGGGCTCTGCATTTTCGGTTCGTCTGCGTTTGTGCGACTTGAGACGTGCTTTTCTCTTAGTTTACGAGGTTGTCCTCATGCTTGAAGGATGATGCCACGGTTGCATTCACTACCCTTTCGGTCGCGTGGGCCGCAGGTGTGCTCTAGTTTGCTTCTGTTTCCAGGTTCCAGCTGCTGTTTTGCATCTTGCGTGCCCGGATCGACAAGAGAATCATGTGCACGCGTTCTCTCAAAGAGTCCACGACAGCACCACGCAGGCGTTGCTGTCTCCAGGCCCTGCACATTCTGAGCCGTGTTCGGGCGGTTGCTGAGCTTTCTGCCCTTTCCTTTGAGTCCTTTCTCTTTGGATCGACCGAAAAGGCAAGCAGACACGGAGGGAGCCCTGCACTGCTCGCCCTGATGCCTGGGCGAGCATTGCGCTGTTTGTATGTTTCTTGTAATTATGTTTTTCCTTGGCTTGCTAACATGTTGCGTCTTGCCGCAGGTCATGCGAAACAGGAACATGGAGGAGAGGCTGCCAACCTTGGGAGACAAGAAGAAGTTCCGCAAGTGGCGTCAGTCCTGCTTGACGGGCGAGGCCGTTGTGGAGGAGCTGGTGGCTTTGGACATGCTTGTTGAGCGAGGCCCGGACTGGTGTTACGACGGTGACAGCGACGATGACATGACTCCCGAAGATGGGGGGCCTCAAGGTGTTGCTCGCTAGGCCCTTGGGACATTTTGTCTATTTTTTCGCTTATTATTGGGTTGAAGAGGACTCAGGAATATTTATGTCAGATGGGTTCATGGGGCCCATCCGAGGTTGGCAAAGTGGTGGCCTGGTGTTCTGCTTCGGGGGAGGCCTTCGGACCTGTTGCTCCAAGGCCTGGATGGGTCAAGGTGCACTGGCAAGTCACGGGACGCAAGCGGAGCTATCGAATGGGGACGCCGGAGCGTTCAGCAGAGCTCGTTTTCGCCGCAGCCATCGCCGATGCCCAAGCTGCACGAGCCCTCTCAGAGGTTCCAAAGGGTGAGATTCAGCTGCACCACCTGCGTTGTGGCTTTGGCTATCGCTGCGGCACGAGGTTCTCCCACTATGCCCTGTTTGACAATCGCATGGAGGCATGTGAGAAGGTGGCTGCATTCAAGCCAGGCGATGTCGTGGAAGACAAAGATGGGGACAGAGCCACGTGCGTTGGCTTGAAGTATCGCGCAGATGCCAAAAAAGTGGACATGTGGTTCCACTGCAATGGCAGAGACGGCGCAGGCCTGTTTACGCACGCAAGTCATGACCGTTGTCTTCGCAAAGTTGCGCACAAGCGCCTGCAAGAGGTGAGCCGAGATGATGCCGAAGGTGCTTCAGATGGTGAGATAGATCATGATGAGCGTGAATGGGTCGGTCAGAACCTGAAACCTACGCTGAAATACCTATCGAAATCCGGGCAAGTGCTCCACTTCGACGTTCGTGACGAGATGGTTCGATGCTTCCGTATGCCTTTCAGGTCTGGTGACATATTGGTCGACAAGGCGGACGGCGAGCGGATGACTTGCATCGGCGTCGCGAGCGATCCCATGCGGCAGCTGGCCGCGCGCCAAAGAGGCTTGGGGGACCAAAAGGGCCCCTAAAATTGGGGTCCCTATTGAGGTACATGAACCTCAAACGCTTCTTGTCATATAGACCCTATGCTACCATAATCCCTATTGAGGTACACGATCCAGAAACCTTGTTTAGGGCTCTTTTGGTCCCCAAGAGGAGGTCGGAGGGTCCCCGGCAGTGTGGCCGAAGTGTGGTTCCACGTGGAGTCCTCGGAGGGCGCGGGGCTGAATCCCAAAATGCACAAGATCCTTGGGGACCAAAAGAGCCCGAAAAGGGCTTAGGGATGTTAGGGTTTAGAGTTCAGGGTCCATGATGCCTTAATAGGAAGCACAGTAGTCTGCGGTATGACCCCGATTTTATGGTTGATGTTGGTCCAATGTTGGTCCTCAAGGATGCTGAGTCGATTCAAAGTGGTCGACAACCGGCCTGTCTTGGAACATGTGGCGCTTGGGAGCTCAGATGCGTGGGACATGGAAACTGCTTTGGGCTTGCTGGCCAGCCTGGATGGTGGATTGCAGTGTGACTTCAGCTTTCCCAGAGGTGCCGGGGAGAATGCCACACCCGACTTCTTTGATGTGCGACCCGAGCTTGTTTACAACGTGGTCGGCTTCCGGCCCGGAGATGTCTTGACCATTCGCGGAGGCAGGGGGGGGGGGGTTAATTTGCTTCACTTACTCCATTCACTCCCCAAGCAGTGCGTGTCAACAGCGAGGGCTTCTAACGTAAAGAGCTAGCGGGGGCGGGGGGGGGGGGGGGGGGCAGGATAGGTACATGATGCCCGGAGGGCGCTCCAGGCCGGGACCACCGTGCGTTTGTCTCGAAGCCTGCACGCTTGTTGGACGAAAATCGCGCTCTCGCCCGGGCGCCCGCGGTGTGGCCATTGCTTTTATATATGTTCACCTTTCTTTCTTCTGTGTTGGCGAAAAGCGAAACTGCCGTCGCTTTTGGGTGTCCACGTTCGCAAAATGCGAAGCTGTCCGCGCTTCTGTGCTTGTGTGCTCGCGAATGAAACTGTCGTCGTTTTTGAACAGCCGCGTTCGTCAAATGCGAAACTGTCGTCACTTCGTGGTTTCTGGGTTCGCGAAATGCGAAGATGTCGTCGCTTTTGGGCGTCTGGGTTCGCTGGGGTCGTTTGCACGCGCTCTTGAACCATTGGAGTGCTTTGTCGTGTCCCCATCCATGATCTCTCACTGTTTGGGGCTTCGTGATATTTCGGGTTTGCCCGCTATCGGCATTTTGGCTTAATGTAGACTCCAGACTTCAATCGGATCTCTAATTTTAGGAGCCCTAAACCCTAAACCCCTACCTAAACTCTACATTTACGACACCTAGTTTTTGAGCGGCATTGCCAGGCCCGCCCGGCACTCGCTTGACCCTGATTGGTCTCCGTCCAGACCCCGACACTGGTGAGATCTCGGTTTGGTGGCATCATGAAGCCGCTTTGCCTGAACAGCTCAATGTCAAGCTGTGGGGTTTCGGGGTTTCGGGTGTAGGGTTTAAGGCATGATGAGATATGGGAGTTTCCCTAACCCTAGATTGAAGAAGGACCTCTAAACCATAGCTGTAACCACCAGATATGGTGATGAGATGCCATAGACCTGGGGGAGCTGCTTATTGCCGATCATTCAAGCACCCTCGCTTCCTGCATTTCGGCTGCTTAGGGTGTCAGCGTTTGGGGTTTAGGTAGGGGTTGCAAGCTAGCATCCAAGGACTTTCAGTGCGTCCATGCCGGAGCTGGCAAGATTCCTGGTTGGGAGCACATGCGGCAGATGATGCGAGACACAGGCCGGGAATTCCGTCTGGGTTTAGGGTGTATAGGGTTTAGGTTTAGGGTTTAGGGTATAAGTTGAACATAAATCATAAAGCATCACGGTTGCTTCGGGTTTAGGGTCTGAGGGTTCAGAGGGTTTCGGGGTTTAGGGCCTTAAACCCTGGCCCGAACCTCTATAGCTTCCTTCCATACTGTGGCTTCGCAGGTGAGAAAGTGAACCTTGAGGAGTTGAAAGAGCGGATACGCAGCCGAAGGGGGCGAGGTGAACAGGGCCATGGTGATCTCCCGGAAATGCTTTCGCAGCTGTCAGCACAGCTTTCGCCAGCCGACCTTCAACAGCTCATGGGGGCGTTGATGCGCTAAGCGCATCGTCTCCGCAGTCTTGTGTTTCACCGGCAACCTCGTGAGGTCCTGTGTTCAGCTCGGGCGTGCTAGCCTGGGCCAGGGGCTTCAAGCCACTGTGCTTTGGTTCCGCAGTTCTGCTTAGCACGCTGTGATGATTGATCTGGCAGTGAAAGCGACCAGAGCTTGCAGCATTTGGGTGGTGTCGGGTTTAGGGTTGTACAGGTAAGCTCACACTCCGCTCCAGCCAGCTGTGCCCACAGAAGCCCCCTTGAGAGCGATGCGGTAGATTCAAAAAATGAGGCCGGTGAAGACCCCAAACACTAAGTTTGTACAAAGGCGGCGTAAAACAATGACGTAACCGAAGGCAGCACGTGAGAGAATCAAAAAGCCCATGAACCAACCCAGCCCCGGACTTCAACACAATAAGAAACCGCTGACAAATGCATTCTTGGCATGACAACTGAATGACACCGGGATGCATGTCCGATCCTGTCTGGTCGCAAAGCCGTCTATTTCTGGTTTTGTTCCGGTGCTTTCAGCACAGATAGCCCAAAGACATGGAAGGCAGGGCCCATTTGCTGCTTGAAAGCTTTTATTGACGTTTCTGAAGGGAGATCGCCCGCCACCTGGAACCCATCCAGCCCTGTGTCATGGAGGGAAACCGGGAGGGGCCATAGATCCGAGCCGCATGACACTCATCCGGGCCAGCCAGCGCATTCATGAAGGGAGTTGCCTGGGAACTCACCCGCCGGTGTGCGGGTTTAGGTTTAGGGTTTTCTTCTCATGAGGGAGACCACGGGCCTCGATAAAACCCTCCACCCTGAATCTTGAACCCCAAAGCCTACAAACCCTGTAAGCCCCATAGGCTTAGGGTTGTGCGTTTTGTTTTCAGGCTCAAGAATCTCATCTAGGGAAAGAAAGTTGTGCCTGGGTATGAACGGTGAGGGTGGACACTCGTGTGAGCACATCTGATATGTAGTAGGAGAACCAATGGTAGAGGCGCAAGAAGCGGCTTCGAGCCGTGATGAAAAGAGCGGTACCTTGGGTACCTTGAACTCTTAGACTAACCTTAACCCCAGAAGCCTTCTCCCACAAAAGATGTGCGTACAGTATTTCCCAAAATAGGGGTACTCCTTTGATACCTATAAACGGACCCCCGAAAAGGGCACCCCTAGTTTCGAAAACCCCCATGTCGGTGCGGATCGAGATCTCGCTGCTCAGTGGAGCATCTCCATCGATGCCGAGCCTGAGTCGTCTTGTGGACTCGCTGCGTCGCAATGCTCAGGTAGCCACTGGGCTGCTTTCAAGAAGGTTAGTATAGGGGCCTTGGTAATAAGAATAGGTTTTTTTGGGTTATTATATTTATAGAGACCCCTATGTTAAACGGTTAAACTTACGGGGCTTAGGGCTCAGGGTTTCGGATGCAGGGTTTCGGGCTTAGATTCGGAGGGAAAAGATTTGGGATAGTAGGCAAGTCAAGGGTTTTCCTCATGTTTGTCGTTTGGCTGATTTTTCCTTAGCAGCTTCCCAGGCGTTGGACGCCAGCCGCAGCCGGTTGCTGAGCCCGGCGAAGAACTCAGGGGAGCTCTCTTCATGGTGAGAGCAGCGAAGTCCCGGAGCTCAGAAGCATGTGAAGGAGGTCGCAGCTTCTTGGAGGGCCTTTGCTGCCCTTCTGACGGGTTGTGACCTCCTCCCTTTTGAAGGCGACTGCAGCGATGCAGAGGGGCAGCTGAATGCGAAGCAGCTTCGTGGGACGTGGCAAGCTTTTGCTGCCATACTCGGCGATGGATCCGTTGTGGGAGTGCAACTGACCAGGGAGGTGACAGCAGCGCCGCCCAGGGCCAGCTGAGACATGTAGGGCAAATCCAGGCTTTCGACGGTGCTTTCGCAGCGCTTCTTTCCGACGGATCGGTCGTGACTTGGGGTGATGCCACTTCCTGGTGGAGATAGCAGTGCTGTTCATGAGCAGCTGGAATGTAGAGCAAAGCCACGCTTCTCGAGGTGGTTTGTGTGGGCCACCCTCAGCGATGGATCTCCTGTGACCTGGGGCACCAAAGACTGCGGCAGTGATAGCAGAGCTCTCGTGGAGCACATGTTGCCTGGACGGACGACTGAGCTGCGCCCTCTGGAGCTGTTGAGGTGCGAAGCTCGCCCTAAACCCATCTAGTCCCTGTACAGCTTTGGGAGGAAGAAGGGAGGGAGGAGGTTTCGGGCATTTCGAGCTTGGCTACTTTTGGGACTCCAAGGTTTGTTGGGTTTGGCACCGGACTGTCTTGTCAGCGTCCAAAATGCAGGGACGAAGTTCTCTTTTCGTGTGAGTGCAGAGCCATAGGCGGGCAAGCCGCGCAGGGAGGTTCTTGCGTGGGGAAACTAGCGCAGAGACACTAGCGAGAAGGGAGTTGCACAGAGTCATTGTTGCATTGCCTCGTGCATTCGGGCCACTCGCCGTCTAGTTTGTTCTGTTCGGGAGAGCCATCGAAGGAGGACCGGGGGTGCGATTCACGGATTGTGCACATGCCAGACATGCGTCTTTTTGAAATCATGCAGTCACTGTGGGCAAGATGTGGATGGTTGTTTCTGCTCCGAACTGCCTCGCAGACGTACAACCTAGCCCTCTCATGAAAGGCTCCTGGCGAGGCTACCTTTTGCAAACTGTTCAATCTGGAAAAGATATAAGATTTGTCAGCACATAAGACCGGCAGAAAGAAGAAAGATACGCAAAAAGGCCGAGTCGCTAATGGCAACCCGCTTTGGCCAGAAGCCCAGCGATTCTCTTCGCGAGTTGCGGCGTGAACTCATCACCTGTGTAGCTTGCGGGGCAATGCCTAGTCTCTGATGTCACCGGTGGGCAGCCCTGTGCGTGAACTCAGCGTTTTCCTTGCGCCAAGGTCTGGAACATGTTGCAACTGACTTGGGCACCGGACGAGGCAAGCGCTGTGGTCAAAGTGAAGCTTGCCAGGGCATCGGGTCATCTGCAGATGACGACTGAACTGACTGAACCATGCAGCCAAAGCCTGTGCACATCTTTGGCGTGATGATAGCTTGGTTTTTGTTTCGGTTCGGAGTTTTATGAGCTCGAGGCTCCTCGCCCGTCCCCATTTTGTCCCAAAGCTCTCTTCCCTTGCGGATGGCCGAGTGCTCCAACTTCTTTGGCTTTGGGCCCTAGCTGTGGCCCAGGAACTGTCGGAGCCCACGGCCGGGCCTGGATGGCCGAGTCTAGGCAGAAGCACGGGAGGTGGGTGATTTTGTGCAGGCGTACGGCTCGGCAGCCTTCGACAACTTAGCCAAGACGTCCGCAGACGCCTTCAACTGGGACTCCTTTGCAGACGGGGTTGCCTAGACCAAGAATTATGCCAACCCGGGCAAGAGCTGGGACGTCGCCTTCGGTCTGGGTGCCGGGGCGATCAAGCTCATCTCTGACCTGGACTCAGACAAGCCTTGGACAAAGGTCGTCCTGGATGTGGGCAACGCTGTTCTGCCAGCTATGGCCCTGGTGCTGGATGGCATTAACCCCTTTGTTGGGGCGGCCTTTAGCTTTGGACTGTCGGTGCTCCAAGCATTCACGGCTGCCAAGAGTCAGCTCAACTTGGCTCAGGTCTTGAGTGATCTCCGCAAGCAGATCCTGGAAGAGGTGGAGGGCTACGTGTCCCAAGAGTTTGCGCAGCGGGATCGGAATGACGCCAAAGCTGCGGCGGTGCAGGCAACCAACTTCTTCCTGAAGGATTGGAGATGGACATGCTCAGAATCTTCCGGCAATGCCTCGCAAATCTGGTCCTGCAAGCAGCAGAAGGCGGCCTTCACAGATGCAATGAAGTCAGAAGTGCTGAATCCTGAAATACTGCGGACGGTCTTTGGAGAAAGCTGCGTGGACCCAGACGGGCGGCCCGTTGAAGATCCGAACAAGATTTGCGCGGAGTTTCAGTCCGAGACGCTGCTTTGGAACCAGTCGGCCTTTGTGGAGATGTACCTTCAGAATTCACAACTTGATTGAGTTCTATCGCCTGCACCCAGAGGCTTACCACGAAATGAAGCGGCGTCGCACATCTTGACGGTCGCCAAGCAGTGCCAAAGCCTCTTGACGGCCTCCGCCTTGGGATTCGTGCTGCAGCGTGACAACAAGTTGCTGAACCGGCCGTGGCCATTGACAGCGTTCTACTCCTATGAACATGGGCATCCATTTGGTCCCTGGGATCCCTGGAGTGAAAATTGCGTGGACGATCCCTGGAGATTCCTGTGCAACTATGGAGTCGGTGATCAACAATGTGCCGACTGCCAAATCTTGGAGCCAGACGACGACCAGGCACTCAGAGACCACTTCACTGCCCCAGCTGCTGGATGGTATTTGCTGGAGAGAGCTGAATGCATGCCCATGGTGCGAGATGCCTGCGATCCCTTGTGCCAAAGCGAGTTTGCTCAGTGCAGGGGTCATGGAGACGTTGAAGGGGGTCTTCAACGAAGTCCCACGCTGCAGCTCTGCTGTGATGCAACCTTCTTGAATCTTCGGGGAGAGATGAGCTGGGTGGCGGATGGCTCGCAGCTTGCGATTGCGTACCCCAGCGGTTCCAGGGTTTCAAGCCCGGTCTACTGGCAGGAGACCTGGTTTGGTGGGCCGAAGCATGTATTGGAGCAGGCCTTCTGGGACGAGCAGGCAGTTGAAGGCGTGATTGCCATGTCTGCTGCCCCAAACATGACATGGAGGGCTTCCCTTGTGCAGACCTCAGGGCACACCTTCCTGGAAGTGCGAGACATGAGTGGCAAGAGCATGCAAGTTGGAGGTCGCCTCTGGTGGCCAGCTCATCGCAGTGAACTTTCTTCTTGATGACCCGCCCGAGAGTGACAGCGGGATTCGCTTCTACAGGTCCTCGGACCTGAGGTGAAAGGCTTCCATGCTCATGTGACGGATCTCGTCCATGACGTGACTGGCCTCAGCTTCAGCAAGGATGGTCGGGTCTTCGCTGCCAGCCACACAACAACCAGCCACACAACAACCAGCCACACAACAACCAGCAGCGGCACTGATCCGGAAATTTTCGACGGATCAGCAGAGACGGCGACTGCGACTGGCCCCCCGCCGGGCAGTTTAGATTGAACTGCAGCCTGACCCGATTGCAGGGGTACGTCCCTGGTTTGCTTCCTTTGACTGGGGCCCGGATGAGTTGGGCAACGAAGATGGGCTGTTGGTGGCGTCCACTGTCAATAACTACGTTGAGTTCTGGCGCATCGAAGCAATGAGTGACAAACGCGACAGCAGCGACTACTCGTCCGTAAACGTCACCCTGCTTCGACGGCTACAGTTTTCGAAATCCTGGAAGATCAAGCAGGTGCTGCTGAGCCCCGGAGGATCTGGAGCCGTGGCTCTCGTCTACTTCCCCGGCGGTGGACCACCTTCCACTATCATGGCAGTGACCCTCACGCACTCTGATGGAGTTCCTGCGCAGGGCATGCAGGGCGTGCAGGGCACAGGGGGCACGGAAGGCACGGAGGGCGTGCAGGGTGCACAGAGCACAGGCGCCAAGTTCCTGAGCAGAGCCCCATGACCTCGTGGTCAGTGGTGATTTTCGATGACTGGTGAGGTCACATCCTTTCTGACTTGCAGTGAAGTGCTTGGGACCAGCAAAAGTCTTAGGGCAAGCCGTTATGATGGGCAGAGAGTGCAGCGTTAGCACTTTGCGCCTTTCCATTAATTCGCACCCTGAGTTTAATCGTGTTTAAGAAGTTTTGGTCAATGGTGAGGTGTGTGCGAGGCCACATCCTTTACAGGCACAGGCTGCACTATTGACACCCTGCGCCTTTTCACGTAGATTTCGTGACGAAGTGCGCTTCTCCAAGTTTGAACTGCCTTGGCTGAGTCTCTCCGGCCTGGTTCTCTGCGGCCATGAGATCCTGACATGCGGTTGCGGTTAGGTTTAGGGTTTATAGGGCTTATTATAGGATTTGTAGGATCTATAGAGTTTAGGGTTTAGAGTGTCATGCGGTGTCCACTTGCCTGCAGTTCGCCTTAACATGTCTTGGACTGCTCACCCAAGTCCCCAAGTCGGCCCACGCCTAACTTCAACTACTATTCTGAGCGACCCACAAAAACACGAAAGATCTTCTTCCTTATGAGAGGCAGATAGTGATTATTGTCTTCTTTCTTTTTGTTTGGGGGGGGTTCTTAAGCAAACAGTACTCAAGATACCGGCACTCGAGGCACAGGTAGCCGTAGATACCCGTTTCCTGCTTTCCTGCTCGGAGCTTCCAGGTCTGGCCGGCGGCAAGCCCGGGCCCTCAGAGTCTGGCCTTCGAAAGGTTCAGTTGAGGGTTGAGGGTTCCCATAATGGCAACTGCAGCTCAGCCTGCGAGCCTCCCACATGCAAGTTGCATTTTGGAAAAAGAAACCTCGTTGCACACCGACTGAAGCCGGGCTGGTTAGCCGAATCTGTTGGTGGCTCTTCACAAATGTGGCTTCTACATATTTCCATTGAGTCAATGCTCTACCGCGTTGTCCTGGGTTTGTCGCTTGCGAGTTGAGAGGCAGGGCGCGTTCTCGCACCGTCCCTTCCATTTTACCTCTTGATCACAAGCTCCCCTGAAGCTCAGCTGGAGCTATCGGTTTACATCTGAGCACACTGGATCGACATCACCAGGTCTGCTGGTTTATAGGCTAGCAGGGTTGAACTCGGAGGCAGGCGGGCAGGCAGCCCAGGCAGGCAGGCCAGGCAGGGAGGCGCTCACGAAAGGCAACAATTGAACAACTTGGAAACCGCCACCCCGAAAAAGGGTCACTCCGAGGATGAGATCATGAGAAGCGGATCGTGATCTGAGCTGGGCCAAGGAGTGCTCGAAGTCTCCGAGTAGTTGTGGTTCAGGGTGGGCTTGGGTGGTCTGTCAGAGCGCTTAGAGAAGTTGGGTCAGAGGTCTAAGAATACTAAGAGTATGCTTTCAGCTGCCTTGACGGTCTGCCGTGCGCATGACCTGGCTAGCTTTGATTATCCTTGGCTTGCCGCTGAGTGATGGTCTAGGCTTTCTGCCTGGAGGGTCTCCATGCCTTGCAAGTCGAACGCGTTCTCGAGCCAGAAGTGCAGCGACACATATGAGGATCGCTCATCTGACAGGCGCTCGCCCCAAAAAACTGCGTTGTTCAGCCTTTTTCTACATTTTGTGTCAAGTGAATGCGCGGCCAATGCACCGGGTCCAAGCAAGCCCAGGCAAGGCAGTATGCGTTGGAGAGACGACAGGGCATTGAGGTTTACGAAAATAGGGGATCCCTAGTACAGATCCTGAAACAATCCAAATAGTATGATTCCCTCATAATAAGGACCCTAATAAGGTACCCCCAAAATCGCAAACCCCCCACATGAGCTCTTGAGAGTTTTTGTGAGGGCTTTTGAGCCGCGCAGAGAGAGAGGGAGGTCAAGCGATCCGTGAACTCTCCGCAGCCACGATGCAGCAGAATCACGCGGAGCAGTGTAGTTAAGTAGTTGCTGCTAGGCATCTGCGATTGGCAGCGCTCAAGCCGTTAATCTGCTCTTAAGGTCGATTGTGGCATAGCTTCCCTGATGTTGCGGAGGTGACAGCATGTGTACGATGAGTTTTTTAAGTCGGCCATCGAGGTTCTGCCCACCGCTGCTCACATCCACAGTGCAAGTACTTGCTGTGCCATGAGCAGTTGCTTTGGATTTTTCAGCTGGGGCATCTCACAACCAGGCACGGGACACTGGCAAGCGATGTCTTATGCGAAGCCTCGTCGATAACGCAGTGCTGTATTTCGATGCTTTTCTCGGAGGTCCATGTGACGTGCGGCCCCAAAGACGTGGTCATGCGTGTGCCTCAAGGATATCTCTGGTACCGACTGCTGGTCTTTCTTGGGGACCAAGAGAACCCAAAAATTGGGGGTAATATGCCTATACTACTCTAATCCCTATCAAGGTAGATGAACCATAAACCCTTTTAGGGCTCATCAGCCCCCCAAGGTCCCAGCTTTTTTCCACTGCTTCAGGTGGCTGAAGACCTGGACTCTGTCGGAGTTTGCGCGGGTGTGTGGGCCCTGTCCTGGGCGTGGCTTCTATGTAGGCTTTCGGGACCCCAAATTTTGATCCTCAAATAGTAGAATCCTCTTTGTATTAAGCCAGTAAGGTACCCTAATGTCGGAACCCCCCTATCTATTCTATTAACTTGTAGTTCGATGATTCGATTGTCGAGTTTGCAGCGGTCTGCGACGTTGATCCCTTTCAACTGCGCCGAGACCATGAGCATGTGGCAGCCAAGCTTGCTGAAGACACGGTCAGATGAAGGTCGCGGCCCGAGCTGTGCAGTCGCGTGAGAAGCGAGGATGTGAGGACTCATGAGCCATGCTGGGTTGCGCCCTTGCGGGTTGTACGCTGTCGTTCCGGGGGCGCGCGTGACGAAGATCTGGCAGCGACAGAGACCCTTCGTGTTCGGCTCTGCTCAGCTTGTGTGACCCGCAGGGGTCCCCAAACAAAAACCAGCATTGGGGGACGAAATGAGCCCCACAAGGGTTTTTGGCTCATATACCTGAATAGGAATTCTAGTAGTAAAGGGCATATGACCCCAATTTTAGGGTTCATTTGGTCTCCAGGGAAGGAGGAAGCAAAGTCGGGGTTGCACCCCTCCATTCGGCCTCCGGCCTATAATCAACCTTTGCCCCTCACCTCTACCGCCCAAGTGCCTCCAGTCCACACACTTCACATGGGCGTGGCAGGGCGGTCCAGAGGGTTTGCAGGGTTGGTGTATGTTGGTATGTTGGTGCGCACTAGCCCGACTTCGCGCGGGCTTCTGGAACCCTCTAACGCCCCAGAGCTGTTTTCAGGATTTTCAACCTACAGTGCGCAGCTCCTGCGGCGCATTTGGTGACAACTTGCCCCCCCCACATCCTATACACCTGCAGCAACATATCGTACATGTTCCCACGCCCCGCCCCCCCCCCACATCCAAAACAACACCGGCCGCAAGCCTGTTGCTTCCCAACCCCAACCCCCCCCCCCTTCGTAT